GGCTAACTTTGAATGTAAAAATGGATTCATTAACCATTGGTAAGTATAGGAAAATAATTGTTTACTCCAGGAAAATTCATTTTTTGGCCAAAACAAAGAGTTATTATCCCTTTAACCAAGTATCCTGTTGAGGGTAATTAGTACCCCCTCCCCTTAAAGTTACTCTTTTGCAGCTGAAATTGTCAGTTACATCTTAGAGCATAGATAATCTAAGGATACTTGAAATTAAACATTTCACATTTTGGCATTTTCAAGTTGTGACTTTGAAGTTCTATGGGCCTGAAGACCTTTGCTGGTCACATTTTCTGAATATCCATGATACTAATATTTTATCATTAAAAATTGATGGTCATTATGCTGTTAAACATTATGTAATGTTGCATCAAAATTTGAATAAACCCATATTTTGGGCACTGCTCCCATTATGACCATTTAAGGAAAACCATGTCATTTACTGTTCTCAAACTTACAGGAAAGAAACATATGGGACTAAAATACAGCTTCAGTAGGCAATGCAGTCTGTTTGGTAAATTTTTCTGGCAGATAAACAGTTTTTTTGTGAAAATTTAATTTTTTCACATATTGGCATTTTCAAGGTGTGACTTTGAAGTTTCATGGTCCTGAAGAACTTTGTTAGTCACATTTTCTGAATATCCATGATACTAATATTTTATTATTAAAAATTGATTGTCATTTTGCTGTTAACCATTATGTAATATTCCATCAGAATAGAAGAAAACACAATTTTGGGTGCTGCTGCCATGATGACCATTATGGGAAAACCATGTTACTTATGATTGCCACACTTTCAAAAAAGAAATACAGGACTAAAATGCAGCCCGAGTTGGAAAAGCAGTCTAATTGGCTTCTTTTTCTGGAAGTTATACATTTTCAAAGTGTGAACTTGAACTCCCATGGGCCTGAAGCCTTATGCTTGTAACACATTTTACATGTACTTACATTGGTATTACCAGTTCAGCATAATTAAAATTTGATGTTGAATTTGCAGTTTAACATAATGTACTTTTGCATCAGAATTGACAGTAGCCTATTTTGTGCATAGTTATTTCCTGCTTTTTGTCTGTACATTTGACAGCTTTGCTGCCTTGTTTTGATGTGCCTTTTGTCTGCAACAACTGACAATCAAGAAAAAGATACTATTAGTTATTAGCATTAAACATCAAACCAAAGGGACAACACAGTGACATTTCCAGATAGACAGGTGGGAAAACATGACCCATCTAGTTTGGAAGCTACAAGAGTCCAGGAATTTTTAGTGTCAAAAATATGAGATCCTTAAAGGCTTTTTCAGGGCATAGTAAACTTTAAAGCAATCAAATGAATTAAATTCATAAATATTAATGCATTCTTGAAAATAAATATGAATACAAGCTAGAATTACATTTTATAAGATCCATCTGCCCCTGTAAACCTATTATTAATACAATACAATATATTATCATTTTTTACATGACAAGACTGTTTTAATATTCAACTACCCCCAGTTTCTTGTGATAATGTCCTTCTCTTGGCCAGTCTCTCCAAGGGAATTGACATAGGTGAATTTACCCTCCTTTCTTCCACAATACTAAGCAAAATAGACACAAGTGAAAAAATAATATGGGTAACCTTAGAGAAATAAGTCATGTCTCCATCATATACAATCCTGGACGTTACATGAAGGCTCACATGGAATGAAACACCTGTAAAAAGAATGGTATAAATGATGATGTTTCTACCTCATATGACCAAATAATTCGTTTTCTCTTAAAGATCTTGGAAACATCTTGACAGCTTTAAAATTTTTATAATATGTATTATTCAAACACGTAAATATAATAAATTTAAATAGCGACCTTCATTGCTGTCAAGTTTACCGCTATTTTCAGCTTAATATGTCTACGTCATCATTTTATGAATGGGTATACAGCGCACCAAGTGGTATAAAAAATAACTAGTTTTCACACGAAGCCCTCTATTGGCAAAATCTGCTAGCCCATCTTAGAATATGACAACCAACTTAGTCAGTCGTGCTGGTACACCTAAACCACAGAAAAATACTACTACTCCTAAGTTATCGACAAGTTTATTCGAAATTTGGATAACTGAGACTACATTACACACATTATGATCTTTGATACAGATTTTTCAATGAATTGACTGTGTAAAACTTTAAAAGCTGAGTTTTCGACAACGACGACCTACTGGTTTACCCCTTAGGTGCCCTCTCAGTCGACTAATGCTCCCTCTCAGGAAATGGATAAGAAAACGGATTACTTACTTGCTTATAGTATATATAGTAGAAATTGAAAATATCCACAAAGTAGAAATAACAAGCTTTTTATGTACAGACACAGATGTGTCTGTACATATTGCCATTACCTGCGTCTGTCGTCGCCGTTCATGTCGCCGTTCATGTCGATGTCGCCGTCGCCGTGCACTTTCAGCGTTAACACCATAAGTGGAAGACAGTTTTACTTTTTGGCTTTATATTTACAGAGCTGATGAATATTCATAAAACGCAGGTCAAGTTCGAAAATCAGCATGATCGGGCCATTATTGTAGAATTTATGCTGTTTTTTCACTTTTCAGCATATATGCAACACTGTTAACACATTTCAAAGAAAACCGATAGGCCTGTTGTCATGAAACTCACAGGAGTAATCAATCT